TTTGGCTTCAGGGATTTGGGTGTAGGGCTTTTTAAAGAGCAGTATAGGCTTTTTTTTTTTTTTTTAAGATTTTTTTATATATTTTAGAGAGAATGTGTGTGCAGGGGCAGGGGATGCAGAGGGAGAGGGAGGGAGAGCCTTAAGCAGACTCCGCACTGAGCACAGAGTCTGATGCAGGGCTCGATCTCATGACCCTGAGATCACAACATGAGCTGACACCAAGAGTTGGACGCTTAACTCACAGTGCCATCCAGGTGCCCCATTATAAGTCCATTTTTAAAGCACTTATAAAAAAATACAATATTTGGAAATACATAAAAATGGAACCACTCTAATGAAAGGAGGGAGGTGCAGAGCTCCACCTGCTTAGCCAGTTTCTTCCCCAGCCACTCAGTAAATGTTTTTTAGAATTATCCTAGAGGGACGCCTGGGTGGCTCGGTCGGTTGAGCGTCTGCCTTCGGCTCAGGTCATGATCCCAGGGTCCTGGGATCGAGTCCTGCATTGGGCTCTCTGCTCTGTGGGGAGCCTGCTTCTCCCTCTGCCTCTGTCTCTCATGAATAAATAAATAAAATCTTTAAAAAAAAATTATCCTAGATTATTTTACTACTTGCTAGTTTTGTGGCCTTGATAAGTCAGTCTGCCAATATATAATATAGGGGTAATACACTTTTTTACCTAATTTGGCAGGATTGTTTTAGGATCAAAAGAGATAGTGAATGTTGTTTGTTTGTTTGTTTTTAAAGATTTTATTTATTCATTTGAGACAGAGATAGAGAGCATGAACAGGGAGAGAGGCAGAGGGAGAGGGAGAAGCAGACTCCCCGCTGAGCAGGGAGCCCGATGCGGGGCTCGATCCCAGGACGCTGGGATCATGACCTGAGCTGAAGGGAGACGCTTAACCATCTGAGCCACCCAGGCGCCCCGTGAATGTTGTTTTTTAAATTGTATTTAACATTTTATAAAAAGTATAAATGTGACATAAAACTATAATGAGGTGCTGCTTTATGCACATTTGTAATCACCTGCATCTTTCTAATTCATTGCATTTGCCATACAACATCTTTTTAAAATGCAGATGTCGAGGGGCGCCTGGGTGGCTTAGTCTTTTGAGCATCTCACCCTTTATTTCGGCTCAGGTCATGATCTGTGGGTCATGAGATCAAGCCCTGCATTGGGCTCCACACTCAGTTGGAGTCTACTTGAGTTTCTCTCCCTCTACTCCTCCCCCTGCTCATGCTCACTCCCTCTCTGTCTCTCAAAAAAGTAAATAAATCTTTAAAAAAAAACCAATAAAATGCAGATGTTGAATTAAGCTACATAGAATATAGAAATATTGCAGAAGTTTTAAAAATTTAACATCTAGTCCACTTTTTATAAAAGTTACATAAGCAGAATCAAAGGATAAAAACTTGGGTTTTTTTTAAGTCAGTAAATGCTAATCGAAATGTTTGAAAAGTAAAGATGGTAAAGGGATGACATTCATAACTATTGATAGTAGCTATCAAAATGTCCTAAAAATGTGTATAACTTTTGTCTTTGTTCAGTCTACTCTAATAAATACTGTAAACTGGGTGGCTTATTAACAAAAGAGATTTCTTTTTTTTTTTTTTAAGATTTTATTTATTTATTTGACAGAGAAAGATAGCAAGAGGGAACACAAGCAGTGGGAGTGGGAGAGGGAGAAGCAGGCTTCCCGCTGAGCAGGGAGCCTGATGTGGGGCTCGATCCCAGAACCCTGGGATCATGACCTGAGCTGAAGCCAGATGCTTAACGACTGAGCCACCCAGGTGCCCCCAGAGATTTATTTCTTAGGGTTCTAGAGGCTGGAAAGTCCAAGATCAAAGCATTAGCACATTTGGTGTCTGGTGGTGCTTGCTTCCTAGTTAACATTCTCTTTTTATAAGGGCATTAATCCCATCCATGAGGGCTCTGCCCTCATGATCTAAGCACCTCCAAAAGCCCCATCTCCAAATACCATCATATTAGGTTTCAACATAAGAATTAGTGGCAGCGGGGCGCCTGGGTGGCTCAGCTGTTTAGCGTCTGCCTTCAGCTCAGGTCATGATCCCAGGGTCCTGGGATCGAGCCCCGCATCGGGCTCCTTGCTCAGCAGGGAGGCCTGCTTCTCCCTCTCCCACTCCCCCTGCTTGTGTTCCCTCTCTCGCTGTCTCTCTCTGTCAAAAAAAAAAAAAAAAAGAATTAGTGGCAGGGAGGAGGATGACACACAAACATTCAATGTGTAGCATCTTTTGACTCCAATGTAAAGATGTGAGAAAGGCTTTATATGAATGTTTATTTGCAACATTGTTTAAAATGGTGAAAAATTAGAAACAACCTGAAAGTCCAACAGTAGGTAATTGCATAAATAAAATTTGGTACATCTACATCATAGAATATTGTGTTTGAATATTAATAACTATAATGTTACAGATGAATACTGACCAGGGAAGATTTTCATGACATGGGGAACAGATAAAGTTACTTGACAAAAAGCCCTACAGAGGTTCTTGGGTGGCTCAGTCGGTTGGGCAGCTGCCTTTGGCTCAGGTCATAATCTCAGCAGTCCTGGGATGGAGCCCGGGCTCCTTTCTGGGGGGTGGGGGGAAAGTCTGCTTCTTCCTCTCCTTCTGCCCCTCGCCCTGCTGGTGCTCTGTCTCTCTCTCTCTCAAATAAATAAATTATTAAAAAAAAAAAAAGCCATACATAATACATCCATGGTGATGTGAATTTATTGGCAAAGAACATGGTATGAGATGACTATACAGAAGGGTTAGCAGTGGTAATCTGAAAATGTTGGGACTTTTTTAATAAGGAAAAGGAATAGTTTGCATTTTTCTCCTTTTACTATTGTTTCCTGGAAAAGTACCACCATTTATCTATCTTTACAAAAAATAAGTTCATTAAGGTAATAATTGTTATAATTTGTGCATGTATTACATATATATATATATTATTTCTTATATGAGCTTCAGAGTTGTAAGCTGTGTGCTGTGTCTTCAGGCAAAGTTTCAGGCATTAGGGTTTGACCCTGAGGTAAGAATGGAGCTAGGTAGGAACATTAAATATTTGCAAGTACTATATATGATTTGTTTACCCTTGACATTTTTAAAGAAGAAAATAAAGCTAAGAAATAGATATGTTTTTAACTTGTTTCCCTTATTATTTGGGATATTCTAACCAAGGGAAATTTACTTTTGTTGAAGATTTGTAACACAGGCTCTGACAACACAGTATTTGATGGAATATTTTGAGAGATCCATTGCCTTCCTATTTTGTATTGTTTCGGAAGGCCCAAGTAGAACTACTTGGAAATTAAGACGAGATAGATTTCAGCTCCATGTAAAGAAGACACTTCTTATGAATCAAGTTATCCATTAGTAGAACAGGCCAGAAGGTACAGGCTGTGTGATATAAGCAGCACACAGACACAGACTCACAATAATAGTAAGAATTTATCTTTCCTCAGCCCCCATTTTCATGAATGTGATGTGCTTGACCCTGTCATCCACTGGTTACTATGCTTTAATCTTTGGTATGCTAATAATTACCTGGAATATTAAGTGTTTGATGCAATTCCCTATTATCTTTCTCCACTGTTTGTTTTACTTTTTTAACATGCCATTGAATTAAAACTTGATTCCACCAATTCTACGATACTACTAGAGTGTTTTTATTTCCTAAAGCATTAGGTGGGCAGTGGCTTTGATAGGGTAGTCATAGGAGCATTGTTTGTGGTAGTAAAAGCATATGTCTATAATGGAATACAATCTGTTTTTTTAAAGGCAAATTTATGTCTGCTGGTAAAGAATGATGGCTTAGATTGAGTTTATGTGACTGTGTAAGAAACAAATATTGATTATCTCTAGAAGACTATGCAGGAATTTGTGTGTTTAGGTAGATTGTCTCTGAATATACAAAACACTGATTAAGTGGTGACCTTAGGAATGGAATATTAGGGGTCAGTGGTAGAAAGGATATTTTATTGTGTACTTATATATTTAAGTTTTGTTTAACCTTGCATATATGTTAACTTTTTAATTATTTAAATTACAATGTTTTAAAGGAATCCCAAACAGCTATTTCTGTCACAGTGGTGCTTAAGGCTCAAAAAAGTTGAGAGACATTGGAATAGGTTGCTTTAGGAGGGGAGGTAGCTGATTTTCTCTTTGAAAGATTATAAGGACAGCATGAAGAAGCACCTGCTAATTGAGCTTTTCTAACCTTCGAGTTTTCTAATTCTAAATGAATGTCTCATTCTATGATATACTAAGTTTAGAGCTTGTGCCCTTTTTTTCACCCATTCTAATGGTTAAAATTATCTCTGATATTAAATACTTATTAGTTATAATTTATCAGAACAATTTTCTATGCAAAACTAAATTTCAGTTGCTAGTCCTTGAGCATCTGCTAGCATAACAAGTAGTAAAGGAAGGCTAAATGTAAACATGAACAAAACTGATGATGACTGTCACAAATCAGTAGCTGTTCTATAAGCTGTATCTTGACCCTCAGAGTCCCCTCATCTTGTAAGGTAAGCAGTACATTAGAAACTTACAACTAAAAGCTCAAGAATAATGTTTTAATATTTTGGATGTACTATGACAGGACTAAGTGTTTTAGAGGCTTTGGGGGAGGGTTCCTTTTTTTGTGAAATACTTGTATGATTTGGAAGGGAATACTTTTAAAAGAGTGTTTTAAGATTTATGAGATTTTAAATAAAATATTTAACATAGAAATCAGATTTTGTGGGGCGCCCAGGTGGCTCAGTCGGTTGAGCATCTGACTCTTGATTTTGGCTCAGGTCATGATCTCAGGGTCATGGGATCGAGCCCCACGTAGGGCTCCATGCCCACTTGGTGCAGTCTGCTTGTCCCTCTCCCTCCCCCTCTGCCTCTCCACCTGCTTGCACATGCTTACTGTCTCTTAAATAAATGAATAAATAAAATCTTATTTAAAAATCGGGTTTTGTTAGAAGTCATTTGAATTTGTTTTCTTTCAGAAATCGAGCTATAGCAGATTATCTTCGTTCAAATGGCTACGAAGAGGCATATTCAGTTTTTAAAAAGGAAGCTGAATTAGATATGGTATGTTTGCCTTTTTACAGTTATTCGTGGTATAGTTAATAAGTGGATTTTACTCAAGTATCAGTATTGAACAGTCATGTCAGTTATTCACAAATGCTATCATTTGTTATGTGGTTCTTTGGCCCTAGGTTTTCACCCCCCCCCTTTTTGTATAATCAAATATTTAGTAACATTTGGGCTTAGGTGAATGGTCTGTATGCCTTGAACAATGTAGTTGAGCCATTTTTCAAAAGGTTCTCATTTTTTTTCCTCTAGAATGAAGAATTAGATAAGAAATATGCTGGTCTTTTGGAAAAAAAATGGACATCCGTTATTAGATTACAAAAGAAGGTATCTACGTCTTCTTTCTTTAAAGTCACTTGTACTCAGAGTGCTCTTATATAAACTTTCTGAAAATATATCAGTTATTCTGCATTGATTAATAATTATATTTGCTCTTGAAAGGCAAATAAAAATCATTTTTATGCATTAAAAAAAACTGACCTAGACAGGTCTTTGCCTAATACATGCTAACTCATGCAACCCAGATGTTGGCTCCAATGAATCTACATAACCCTGACTTGAAAGAATTGATACTGAAAGAACTCATTTGTGCATTTAGATTGGAAGAAAGCATGGAGCCAGTATGATGCTGGGGAAAGAGCACTAAAGTGTGCACTTAAGAGAAGTCATTTTCATCTCTGAGCTTTTGTTTTTATCTGTAAAGTGAAGGCACCAAATAATACTCTGGTCCTCAAATTTATACTTTTAGTAGGCAAAGTTAGAATAAATAAATAACATTCTTTAACATGAGTTAATCCATAAAAAGCTCTTAGAAAAGTTGCATAACACATACATAATGTCAGCTTTTAATGTCAGCTTTTATTGCACTGCTCTTCCTCTAATTAGTAGATAGAAATTGAAATTTTTTTAGTTAAGTAGTTGATACCAGTCATAGTTTTTCTCAAGTTTCAGTTTTGTCACACTAATAAAATTTTGGGTAGTATATTATATAGATCTTTTCAATTAAATTTGATGAATGCTTTGTAAATTACTGAAATTTCTTCAAGTATCCTGCATAAACAGATGCAAACTAAAGGCAGTTTTTAAAAATATCAAATATATTACTTTTATTGGAATCTGTATATAACCGTGTTCCTTCTCAAGGTTATGGAATTAGAATCAAAACTAAATGAAGCAAAAGAAGAATTTACGTCAGGTGGACCCCTTGGTCAGAAACGAGACCCAAAAGAATGGATTCCCCGTCCACCAGAAAAATATGCGTTGAGCGGTCATAGGAGTCCAGTCACTCGAGTAATTTTCCATCCTGTGTTCAGTGTTATGGTCTCTGCTTCAGAGGATGCTACAATTAAGGTAATTTTTTCAAAAAAATTAAAGATGTTAAAAGCAGATTAAAGTTAATTGGGTATAAGAAAAAAAAGATCCTGAAAATGCAGACCTGTGCAAGACAGGAAAGACGGGAGTTTGTAGCTCCTGAGAGGCAAGCTGCCAAGTAAGTTTACTGATGAATTTGAGAAAGTAGGGTGTCACTGATTTAGTGTTGGGCCATAGGTCACCTAGTACTTGAATAATTTTTGTTTTTGGAGAATGAAGACATAAGTGTACCTTGCTTTTAAGCAGAGATGATAGATGAAAATATAAGATTACAACATGAGTACTTCAGGGGTTGAATATATTCTGCAAAAGAATTCAGTAGGGGACTTACTCAAATTGGGCTCTCCTTGATGTATTTTAAATACTGGCTTTGATTCCAAACAGTAGTTCTCTCCAGGGGTGTGGGGATATAGAAGGTTTTCACTTTATAAGTTATGTATTTCTCTCATTTTTGTATTTTTTACAGTAAGTATACACATTTTAATGTTTTATCTTTTAATCCAGAAAAAAGGTTGTTTTTATAATTCCCTTTGATCCAGACACCATACAGTAACAGTTATATAAACTACCTGCAGAAAGATAAGTAAAATATAGTTAAAAGGTTTAGGTAGGTTTTTCTCTTCTAAGGCTCTTTCCAGATTAAGTTCTAGAGGGAGAGGGAGAAGCAGGCTTCCTGTGGAGCAGGGAGCCTGATGCGGGGGTTGATCACAGGACCCTGGGATCATGACCTGAGCCAAAGGCAGACGCTTAACAGACTGAGCCACCCAGGCGCCCCTAAGTTCTAGATTTTAATAAGTTTCATTTATAGAGGTATAATTAAGAAAACATGAGTAGGTTGTTAAGACTATATCGCCTAGCAGTAGTCCAGTGTAAAATACCGTAATGACTTAAATGTGACTCTCCTTAATTTGTTCTTCAAATTAAACATTGTTTTATATTTTCCTAATGTGGTTTCTTTCTTTAGTTTCTAAATCAGTGGCTTCCTTCCATCCCATGGGCTGGTGATCCATGGGGTGGGCTGCAGAGTAATTGGAAGAGAGTCTTAAATCATATGTGTACCATGTAGTCTGAAATGATTACATACCTAATACATTAACCATTGCTGTTTTTCAAATATATGTAGACATGTATTTAAATTATTGATTTCATGATAGTTTTGTGTACTGTAAAAACTGTACTGCTGTCAAGAGCCATAAGGGTGAATAGATTAAAAACCCAGTCTTAATAATTGATTTTACGGTGCAGTGGTATAAAAGCATAAACAAAACTGTAAATGTGCCATCTTAAAATATACGTATTGAGTGAACTTTAAAATATTACAAATCAGGGCGCCTTGGCTGGCTCAGTTGGTAGAGCATGCAACTCTTGATCTCAGGATGGTGAGTTCAAGCCCCCGTGTTGGGTGTGGAGCCTACTTAAAAAAATAAAATAAAATAAAATGTTACAATTCGAAGTTTTAAAATTTCTGTGTATAATAATCATATCACATATCTCAGCAACTACTTAATAGTTCTCCCTTCCATTTACTCTTTATTTAATGTGTGTACACGTGGTTGCTTCATTAATGAAAATCATTTGTATTTAGTTTCGATTCTTTTTTTATTAAATTATTTTAGAAATAGGTTTCTTTGTTTCTGATGAATCATTTTTAATGATTTTATGCTAGTTGTTTTGTTTATATGTGGAGGCTTTGTAGGGGAGTTAATGCTCTTGGTTAAAGTCCTGACCCCATCATTCAAAATTAATGTGATCATGGGCAGATTAACTTTTTGTGCTTCTCTTTCCTCATCTATAAAATGAAGATAATTAATACTTATCTCAGGGCTTTTGGTAGGATTAAATAAGTTAATATGTGGAAACTGCTTAAAACAGTACTGGACAGACACTAAAGGAGTACTTGGTGCTAGCAGTGTTTCAGTACCATGGACAAATTTTCTCCTTTGGACTTTTTATGTCATTTCCAATCATCTACTGTCATAAATAATGTTCTGTTCATTCTTACCCATAAAGCTTTTTTTTCCCTCTCATTAAATTACTTCTGTGTATATTTTTTGGAATGAAAAAAACTTTTTCTACTCTCCTTCCATACTTTTATTATTCAGTTGTAGTAAAACCTAGGTGATTGCTAAATGAAGATTGTGATAGAACTACTTTCCCAAAAACTCAAAGAAGAACATAGACAGAATTTTTTGTAATTTTGTGACTGTCTTGGACAAAGTGCTTGGTATGTTTAAGGCTCAGTTTTCTCATTTGTTGGGAATACAGTTCTTTGGCTTAAAATTAAGTAATGTGTACATAACATATTAGCAGTATAGTGCCTGACAGATTTAGGTAGATGGTAAGGGCCCAGTAAAATGTAGTTAATGGTAACAGAAATTCTTATTATATTATTTCCCTTGTGCATCTGGTAAATACAACAGATTTATTCCTTTTAGAGTAATTCATTTATATCATCAACCTTTAATAATTTAGGGAAAATGTAGGATAGATATTTGAAATAGCTCATAACAGTATTTTGAAATGTTATTTATTTTTCTTTTTTTAAGATTTTATTTTTAAGTAGTCTCCACACCCAGTGTGGGGCCCAAACCCGCAACCCTGAGACAAAGAGTCGCATATTCCACTGACCTAGCCAATCAGGCACCCCTTGAAATGTTATTTCTGATTGTTACGTAGAGTATTCTTAAACATTTTTAAAAATGAACAGCAGGGGCGCCTGCCTTCGGCTCAGGTCATGATCCCGGGGTCCTGGGATCGAGCCCTGCATCGGGCTCCCTGCTCCGCGGGAAGCCTGCTTCTCCTCTCCCACTCCCCCTGCTTGTGTTCCCTCTCTTGTTGTGTCTATCTCTGTCAAATAAATAAATAAAATCTTAAAAAAAAAAAAATGAACAGCAAACAAAACTGAAAAATACATTCAACAAATGAGGCAGATGGACTGCCAAACTTTTTTTTTTTTTTTAAGATTTTATTTATTTGACAGAGCACAAGCAGGGGGAGTGGGAGAGGGAGAAGCAGGCTCCCCACTGAGCAGGGAGCGCAATGCAGGGGCTCGATCCTGGGACCCTGAGATCATGACTTGAGCCAAAGGCAGACGCTTAACTGACTGAGCCACCCAGGTGCCCCAGGACTGCCAACTTTTTATAGAGTTCAAAACAAATGTGAAAAAACAGTAATCATTCTCAATAGAAAATTGAACTGTGGGATGTAAACAGACAATTCATAGAAGAAAAAATGGCTTACCAACAGTAAAAAAAAGTTTTGGCTTTGCTACTAATAGTAGAAAAAATGCATATTAATATTACAGTATATCTCAAATCTGTCAGTATATTTTACTTCTTAGATGAGAATTCCCAGTGGTGATAAGAGTTTAATGAATCAGGCATTCTCATTACATTTGATACAATCTTATGAGAGAACAATTTAGCAGAAGGGCTTAAAAAGTATACTTTTTGACCCAAAATTCTATACTTTTTGACCCAAAATTCTTTTTCACCATCTGACCTAATATTGCAAAATGAGGACAGATATTTTTCAATATTCAAAGATTTTCATTTATATAATGTTTTCTATAATAATGAAAAATTGTAGGGCACCTGGCTCAGTCGGTTGAGTTGTCTGACTCTTGCTATCAGCTCAGGTCATGATGCTCAGGGTTGTAAGATTGAGCCCCTTGTTGGGCTCTGTGCTGGGCATGGAGCCTGCTTAAGATTCTCTCTCTCTGGGCGCCTGGGTGGCTCAGTTGGTTAAGCGACTGCCTTCGGCTCAGGTCATGATCCTGGAGTCCCGGGATCGAGTCCCGCATCGGGCTCC